CTCAAATTGAGTATAGTATAGTAATATATTATAGGTAATGAGTATTGAGTATTGAGTAATGACGCAATTAAATTAAATTATATTTTATCACAATGGATTTTCTGGTTATGTTCTTATGATTTATACCATATTATATTGTTAAATAAATATAAATATACACGCGCAACGTTAGTTGAAAATGCGTACACAGTAATATTATCATCATTCATCAGTCATCACAATTYATAAACGTATTATATAATTTACAAATAACTATCATATCTATACGTTTGTACTTTGCAGTAGAAACTTAAAAGTCTACAAAGCAATAATCGTTTGCAGTGTAGGGGATTACTTATTATAATATGCATGCATTWAACTTTAGATAGTGGTTGAAGTGCATACTGCAACCATGTGCTTACAAACCTTAAAAACTGATATGCTATTAGTATAGATATAAATAGATATAAATATTAGGTATATAAAAGATCAATGGTAGGATGAAAAATATAATCTAAAAAGTTGGTAGGATAATAGTGATTAAAAGTAAATCACTCAGATTTAGCCACTTAGGTTAGGTTAGGTTTTTCAACTGATTATATATAATTTGTATTTGTATAAATAATTCTTAAATATATACCCAGTAGTTCTCAGCCATTTTTTCAAAACAACATCCTAACTTGGAACCAAATAAATGGTGACACTCTTATAGCTCATCAAGATCGAAGACTGAAAGAGTATGATAAACAACATTAAAATCCAAAAACATTAGCCTGCAAATATTTTATTTTTGAGTGACACACATAGCGATACGTCGTTGCTTATTACCATAGATATACTYGTAGACAATATTATATTGTCTTGAGAAAATTATAATTTTTTAGGGCACGATAAACCTTCTTCTCTCCAAACGTGTTGGTAGTAYCTAACTGCAGAATATAATATTATATAACTACCTATAATATTATTAATATTTTAAAAATTACAAAATTTACATTTGTGTATATTAATGTAACACATTTAACTTGTACTTTGCAGTGTTTGTCGCATACACATCACATTGGAATAGACTCACAGCTGTTTATGGTGTCACCATTGCTCGTTTGGACTTTGTGGAAATGGCCTAGGAGGAGCATGGTGGCGCTCGTGGGGTTGGCGACCATATCAACCGGACTTCGATATTACGTGACGCTAACGAAAAAATTGAACTTATTCATCAATTTTGGAAGCTCGTAAATAAACATATTAACTTGAGATAGTTAACTATAATAGCTATAATACCTAGTTACATGAACGTTAAAATAAATTTAAGTTTTATAGAAATAGGMCAAAAATGAATTCTAAACAAACCTAGAAAAGTTTAATGATAAAGAATATAAATATAGCAATTTAAGAAAAAGTGGCAAGATTAATTATTCTTAATTACCAACCGAGTCACCGTTATAATTATGTGAAATTTATGATACGGAAAATTGCGTTTTCAGATTCTTTTTATCATTTTTTTTTTTTAGCCTATTGTAGATACGTATGTTACCTTTAGTAATGTATAACACTTTTTGTCACGTTTACAGAGTTTCACAAATGTATGATACTGCTGACTACTCATACATTTTGCCAACTCACAGGCTGACCGTGTACATAATGGGTATTCTAATGGGTTATTGTCTGCGTTACGTAGGAAGAAACTACCCATTGAAAAGCGTAAGTCTGTTTACCATTATTTATGTTCATATTTTATAAATAATTATATCGCATATTCATGTCAATCGATCGGGTATAGTTAATTTGCACCAAAATTCATCCTAAATATACACAACATATATTTTACAATTATCTACAAAATGTTTAAGCTGTGCTTGTAATTTACACCAAAATAAAGATATGTAATTTGCACCATACAGTAAGAACAGGAAGACGTAGTAAGAAATAGTAATTGTAATTTGTTCGGTGATGAAAGTAGTTGAGTTTTTATATAACCGGAGTTTCATTTTGATTTTCTTCGTGTCAGAATTTCATACCGATTTCGTAAAACAAATTTTTTTTATTAATACCTTTCAACGGTTTGTAGAGTTTTTAGTAAAATTGGGCGGTTTGAAGCAGAAGAACTGGAGTGAGTGATTTATTTTGTTGGTGGACTTTATGACAGACCAGTCTGGCAGTCTGGATCAGTTGTGTTCTTTTTATTTTTCTTAATTTTTATCAGAGTAATAACCTCGGTGGCCGCAGARAGAGCTGCGTATGTTGTTACGGCGTAAAGAAAAAATATTTGGAAGTTGATTGAACATTTTCACATAACTATATGTTGTGGTAATAGAAAATTAAATATTAAAATGTATCGATTTTAATTAATTAATTATTGAGCTAATTAATTTACGGGGGCGCATAGAATATGTGAAAAGTAGACGGCTTTTAATAATATTACAAAACACCATTAATAATATTAAATTTGATGTGATTTAGGTTCACTTGAAGTTGGGATGGATCATCGCTATTGGATTCTTCTACGAAGCGTTTATTCACCCGGCCAAAATGGGTGACATCGACTACGTATATAATGCCAGCGATGCTGCCAATTATGCGGCTTTCGCGCCCATCTACTGGTGTATTTTTTTCAGTTGGATTATATTTGTCTCATACACGGGCAATGGAGGTACCTAAGTTAATTWTTTTTTTAAATTAATAACTATTATGAGTTATAATACTAAAACAGGGTGAAAAGTCCCGAGATGGTACACTATAATGGACTAGGTCTATAAATCGGCCCCAAAATCATTGGCGCAACTAGAACTTAAATA